CTCCCCAATATCTCTGAACTGTCCCTTAACCCTCTGGGGGGGTTGGGGGAGAAAAAGGGAAACAGGCCTCACCCAGGGCTGCCAGGTGGGCAGAATGTTCCCTTTTGCTGTAGGCAAAAGTTTGTCAAGGGTGTTGGGGCGAATTCAGGACCTGCTGTCACTGCAAGGAGGCCCATCCTGGAGATGGAGTCCCAGGCGAGTGCCTCCCCTCTCTGAGCCTGTTTTCCCCCCAGCTGTAAAAATTCCAGGTTTCTGGGATTCTACATCTCTCATTCCCTAGGGGTCTCCAGGCTGCCTTTCCCGTGGAGCCAGAATGCCAACCTCCCATTAGAAAACTGCTTTGTTATCCTGCCCCCACCCTAGCCCCACTGTCTAGTTCCCGTTCTGTGGGTCTGCCTTTCCCCAGACAGGTGAAACTCCAGGGTAAGTGCCAGAATTTTTCTCTGCTGTGCTTAGTCGCTCAGTCATGTCCAACTCTTTGTGACCCCATGGACTGTAGACCGTTAGGCTCCTCTGTCCACGGGGATTCTCCAGGCAAGAACACTGGAGTAGGTTGCCATGCCTTCCTCCAGGGGATCTTCCCCACCCAGGGATCGAACTCAGGTCTCCTGCATTGCAGGTGGATTCTTTACCACCTGAGCCATCAACGAGCCTGGGAATACTGGAGTGGGTAGCCTATCCCTTCTCCAGGGGATCTTTGTGACCCAGGGATCAAACTGGGGTCTCCTGCATTGCAGGTGGATTCTTTACCAGCTGAGCCACCAAGCAGTCCTGAGGACTTTTCTGGTCACCGTCAAATAATAAAAAGCCCCCAGTCACTTTGGGTCCCTGAGAGTCTCACTTTAGTGTTAATAACTACTATGTTCAGGCTTCCCTGCAATGCGGGAGACCTGGGTTTGATCCCAGGGTTGGGAAGATCCCCTGGAGAAGGTCATGGCAACCCACTCCAGCATTCTTGCCTGCAGAATCCCATGGACAGAGGAGCCTGGCGGGCTGCAGTCCACGGGTCACAGAGTCGACACGACTGAGCAACCAAGCGCACGTGCAGCACACGTTAGGTCCAGCGTCGGCGCGGCCAGTGGTTCCAGGTGGTTCCCCACCTTCACCCCTAAAACTGCACACCACAGGCTTTGCCCCTCACCACTTGACCTTCTCTGAGTCCTCGGGCTCCTGAGGTGTGCAGGCGGGGGTGGGGGCAGCAGCATGCCCGGAGATGTGGGTGGCGGCCCCAGCACACTCTCCATACAAATGTTGTCTTAACGTCCTTTAGCTCTGCCTCTAGCAGGCTGGGGAGGAAGGAGTTGGGGGAAAGATTATTACATAACCTGTTCTCAGGCAACCCCTCCAAAGGTTTTGAAAGGGAGGTGTCTCTCTCAACACTTTGTGAAAGAAGTTTCCTTTGGGGACCCTGGCTGGAGCTTGAGACAAAAGCATCTTATGTTAACATCCTGTTTTCCGAACATGTCCCAGTGTCATGAAGCCCCTGGCTTAGGCGAGGGCAGTGGCGGGGCAGGGGAAGGGAAACCAGAGCCTTGGCTCCAAAAGGAAAAATTCCCTTGGTGGGGTGAGGGGGGACAGGCCAGAGCAAAGCCCTGGGTGGAGCTGTTGGGGGCGGGGGGACATTTGACATTCCACCTGCGCTTGAAGGGGGGTGTACACCTGTGACCCACTGCCTGCTGCAGCAGCAGGGCCTTGGTGGCTCTGGGGCACTTATGGAGACAGGGTCTTGCCACAGCCTTCAGAGGTCAGGAACCCAAGGGTAGGGGTGCAGGCCTAGGGAAGAGCTGCCTTGCTCCACCCAAGCCACCACCCTTCCCTGCTCCTGGGCAGTTTCCTAGTCTTGGGGAGCTCAGCAGAGCTCCACCCTGCAGACCTGGAGGCTGAAAGTTTGACTGCGGCGCCTCCCAGGCTACTGGGAGGTCAAGCATGAGAATATGGACTGTGAGTAATCAACAACTTGCTGGACCACAGATTTAAAAAATAATCAAGCCTTTCACACCCATTGGACTAGCAGAAAATTACAAAGTCTGACTCTACCAAGTGAGGCAAGATGAGGCACAATGGGGACTTTGATAAGCTGCTGGTGGGAGTCAGGAGGGTTATACAGTATGGAGACCTTCTTTCTAAAGGAATGCAAAGTCAGCCGGAGTCTTGGAAGGGGCCTGAGCAAGAAGGGGTCCTGAGCTTAATTAAGCTTCATCAGCTTCCTGGTAACCTCACTTATGAGTTGGAGTAACCATTTTGGACATCAGTGTGCTAACATTTGGGAAAATAGGGTATGCAATCCCTATGACCCAGCGAGTCAAATCTCTTTGTGTTCTCAAAAGAAATTCCCCAAAGTACAGGAGCAAACTCAAGAATGTTCTTTGGCAGTGCCGTCTGCTATATCACATTTGGAAATTACCCAAATGCCCATCAATAAAAGACTGAATAAAGAGTGTCAGTGTGTATAAACCTCAGAACAAGGTTGTATGAAACCCGTGTTGAAGAAGGATGTGTACCATCCTTTCTATAAAGCAGGAAAACATGAAACCACACAGGTGTAATCATAGATGGTTAGGGGTGCAGTAAAAGTCTAACACTGAACACATGTTCAGCCCAGAGGTGGTCCTGAGGCTGAAGGGAAGAGAGTAAGATAATAGCAGAATATCCAGGTGGCTTAGATGTCATCTGAAAGCTCTATTTCCTTACTACTAAGAGTAAATAAGGAAAAATATTAAGATATAACAAAGTTGAGTGATAATTACATGAATGCCTATTAAAGTATGTATACTTTTCTGTCATTTTTGGAAATAGTTTTCAATTGTTAAAAAGTGAAAATGCAGTTGGCACAACAGAAAACTAACCATTTAAAATTGACCTGTTCAATAGCATTTAATACCTTCACGATATTGTGCGCTCACCACCTCTATCTAACTTCAAAACATTTTCATCATCCCTAAAGGAAACTCCATACCCATTAAGTTGCTCCACATTTCTCTCTCTTCTCAGCCCCTGGCAAACCACCAATTTGTGCTCTGTCTCTAGAGATTTACTCATTCTGGACATTTCATGTAAGTGGAATCAAATACTTTTGTATCTGGCTTCTTTTACTTAGCATAGTGTTTTCAGGTTTATCAACCTGTATCAGTACTTGATTCTTTTCTACAGTTGAATAATATTCCACTGCATAGAATATCACAATTCGTTTATCCATTCACCCCTTGATGGGACATTTGGGCTGTTTCCATTGGTTGACTATTGTGAATACTGCCTCTATGAGTACACATGTTCACACACCTATTCAAGTCGGGCCAAGAGGAGGAAGGTGTGCCAGAGTCTTTTGTATTAAGCCCAATGAACACATTTTTTAAAAATTTATTTATTTACCCATGCTATATGGCTTTTGGCATCTTAGTTCCCCAATCAGGGATTGAACCCTGGCTCCTGGCAGTAGAAGGGCGAATTCTTAACCACTGAACCACCAAGGAATTCTCAACACATTTTCTTATGCTTCCTGTTACAATGCTCCCCAAACAACTACAAAGGCAGAGTAAAAGAACTCATTAGGGCAACTCAAGAGATACTAGCAAGTCCTGTGGCTTAAAAATCTTTCTGCCCCATCAACACCTCACCTTTAGCCTTCATCACTTACAATCACCAAATTCTCTCGCTATAAATACAGTAGCCTCTGAAGGGACAACCTATTGCTTACTATACATGCTCATTTTCAGGCTAAGTGCTGAATAGAAGCACAGAGATGAGCCATCTGGGGAAGGAGTTTTCCAGTGAATGCAAACCCCTTCCACTTTGGGACTGGGTGTCCCCACCTACAAATGGTGTGGCTGTGCTTAGAGGTGTCTAGAGCTTCTTCTTGATGTCACTTCCTGGATTCTGGCTAGCACCAGGATTTCAAGTTACCCTGTCTACATGCAGGTTTGGGCTCAGGTTCAGTGGTACGGTGCCACCAGGCAACCTTGACCACTTCAGCCCTCTCCCCTGTGGGCGCTCCCCCCACCCGCCATGGGTAACAGAACCTGCTGGGTTTGCTGTTCATGCCTTCCCCAGCCAAGGAGGAGGTAAGAAGCTGGGGTCCCATTTTTAAACAGGCTGGATGTCTTCTTTACCAGCTAACACTCCAGGCAGCCACTACTGCGGTGGGGGTGCAGGGACAAGAGTCTCCTGGCTCATGGAACCGCACCCGGGAAAGAAGTACAGCCTGCCCCTTCCCAGGTGAGGGCCTGGGACCCTGGGGAGCTTAGGCTGAGGGTGGTCTGAAGCCTCCCCACAGAGAGCACTTTCCAGGAGCCCTGAGGAGGAAGCGCTTTCCCACAGTCTTCCGTTGGGGCTTCAGTGTAAGGAGGGACCAATAGCAGGTGCAGAAGTCCTTGGATGCTCAAGGTCAGCCAAGTCAGAGCCCGGCTTTCAGGTTCCTCCTCCTCCCCCCACTCTCCACACTGTGCACAGTGACTGTGGCAGAGCAGTCACAGCCTGTGGGGTTATTTCCAGATCAGAGTGGTGGCCAATTCCTTCACTCACCAGAAACGTTCAAGAGAAAACAACCCAGATTCGGCTCCTCCTATGACATTAACCCCATCTCCACCCTTAGCTAGGTAATACGCAGGTGTCTTTTGCTGATTTTTAAATTTTAAAACAAAATCCTAACCCTGGGGAGAGCTGGGTGCCTCTACAAGGACGCCGATCGCCAATAAGCCCATGAGAAGCAGGTTGGGAGCGCAGCTTTGGACCCGGAGCGCTCCCAATGGACCCAGGCCAGCTTCCGATATTTGATCCGTGTTGCGAGTTTGGTTTTTCCACCCAACTCTCGGAGACGGTTTATCTTGGGCTAGAAGGGGCCAAAGTAGCATCGCGGGGTGGGGGTTGGGTAGAGCCTTTCCTTCCCCGGCTACCCGAGGCTCACGGACCCTCGCGGCTCGCGGCAGAGGAGAGCGCACTCCACGACCCATCCCGTCTTGCCTTCCCCGGCGCCGGCGCCGGCGCCGGGCGCGCCAGCCACTCACAAATTCAAAGATGAAGAGCAGGTCCGGGAAGGTGGTGAAGACAGCGAAACCGCTAGGCAGGCTGCTGACGCCGGACGCCGCTGAGGGGGCCATGCTGGCGGGTTGGCGACGGCCTCGGAACCGGACGGGACGAGCGCAGCTCTGACTCTGCGCTGACCGCTCTCTTGCTCGGCGGAGCCCAGTGGCCCGGGCGCCCCCGCGCGCGGGTTAAGAGCAGGGGCGCCCTGGCCGAAGAGGGAGGAGCCCCGGCCGCCGCCGCCCGGTCCCCGCCCGATACCGCGGGGTGCGCCCCAAGGGCCCTGCCCAGCGCCGTGGGCGCAGCCCTGAAACACTCCGAGGCTGAGACTGGGCTTTGACTCCTGAACCCTACGTCTGGGCGCCACCTTCCATCGGAAGCCGAATAGCCATTCGGTGAGGCGCTTTACACTCTGCAGGTGATCGGCATTTCTTAAGAATGAACACCATCAACAGCTAGGCTCCCCAAACTCCGCAGGCACCGTGGCAGCTCTTGGATCAGCATGGCGCAAACTGTTCTTAAGTTGGGGCTCTTTTATCTTTCTGCCGGGTGCGTTAATATGCATCCAAGTTCACCGTGGGACTAGGTCCCTGCCTTGCAGGGATGTGCTGAGACCAGGTACGGCCACCCATGCCTTCTCCCTGTGCCCTCAGACCCTGGAGCCTGAAACTCTGCACCACCCTGATCCGCACCACTCGGCGCTGGAACTGCTGGGCGTGGATTAAGGGCAATCACACCTGCCTTGAACCTTGGACGGTGGAGGGAGCCAGCACTGCTGAGGGCCTGCTAAGTGCCCAGCACCCTGTAGACTCTTTGCCCACGTGACCTCATTCAATCTCAAGGAGCCTTTCCATCGGGTGTCACCCACCTCCAGGCTCAGAGTGGAGAAGGAACATGCCCAGGCCACATGGAGGGCAAGTGGTCCTCTTGACTGGAGACGGCTGACCGTCCCCACTGCCTCTGTGCCCCTTGCATAAAACCCACACACTTGAAAACTGCATCTGTGAGTCAGACTCTTTTTTTATTATATTAACCAGTTTGTTGTATATTTTTAGATTTCATATATGAATATCACACAGTATTTGCCTTTACCTGCCTGACATTTCATTGAGTCTAATGTCCTCCAAGTCCATCCATGTTGTTGCAAATGGCGTTTTATTCTTTTTCATGGCTTAGTAGTGTTCCATTGTGTACATGTGTGTGTATCTGTGTATCTCACATCTTCTTTATCCATTCATCTGTTGATGGACATTTAGGTTACTTCTATACCTTGGCGATTGCAAATAATGCTGCTATGAACATCGGGGTGCATGTATCTTTTCAAAGGAGTGGTTTGGTTTTCTCTGACATATACCTAGCTGTGCTGTGTCAGATGATAGTTCCAATTTTAGTATATTCAGAACCTCCATACTATTTTCCAAAGTGGCTGCATCATCAATTTACATTCCCACCAACCGTGTACGGGGGTTCTCTTTTCTCCACATCCTTGCCAACATGAATTGGAAGTATTAATATTGTTAAAGATTCAATACAACCCCTATCAAAATACTAATGACATTTTTTGCAGAACTAAAGCAAATAATTTTAAAATGTGTTCAGTTCAGTTCAGTTCAGTTCAGTCGCTCAGTCGTGTCCGACTCTTTGCAACCCCATGAATTGCAGCACGCCAGGCCTCCCTGTCCATCACAAACTCCCGGAGTTTACTCAAACTCACAGCCATCGAGTCGGAGATGCCATCCAGCCATCTCATCCTCTGTCGTCCCCTTCTCCTCCTGTCCCCAATCGCTCCCACCATCAGGGTCTTTTCCAACGAGTCAACTCTTTGCATGAGGTGGCCAAAGTATTGGAGTTTCAGCTTCAACATCAGTCCTTTCAATGAACACCCAAGACTGACCTCCTTTAGGATGGACTGGTTGGATCTCCTTGCAGTCCAAGGGACTCTCAAGAGTCTTCTCCAACACCACAGTTGAAAAGCATCAATTTTTCGGCACTCAGCTTTCTTCACAGTCCAACTCTCACATCCATACATGACCACTGGAAAAACCATAGCCTTGACTAGACGGACCTTTGTTGGCAGAGTAATGTCTCTGCTTTTTAATATGCTATCTAGGTTGGTCATAACTTTCCTTCCAAGGAGTAAGTGTCTTTTAATTTCATGGCTGCAGTCACCATCTGCAGTGATTTTGGAGCCCCCCAAAATAAAGTCAGCCACTGTTTCCACTGTTTCCCCATCTATGTCCCATGAAGTGATGGGACCAGATGCCATGATCTTAGTTTTCTGAATGTTGAGCTTTAAGCCAACTTTTTCACTCTCCTCTTTCACTTTCATCAAGAGGCTCTTAAGTTCTTCTTCACTTTCTGCCATAAGGGTGGTGTCATCTGCATATCTGTGGTTATTGATATTTCTCCTGGCAATCTTGATTCCAGCTTGTGCTTCTTCCAGTCCAGAACACAAAAGACCCTGAATAACCAGAGTGATCCTGAGAAAGAACAGAACTGGAGGAATCACTCGTCCTGACTTCAGACTAAACTACAAAGCTAGTCGTTAAAATAGTGTGGTGCTGGCATAGAAACAGGCACACAGGTCAGTGGAGCAGACTAGAGAGCCCAGAAATAAACCCATGCATTTATGGTCAATTAATCTAGGATGAAGGGAGCAAGAATATACAATGGAGAAAAGACAGTCTCTTCAATAAGTGGTGCTAGGAAAACTGGACAGCCATATATACAAGAATGAATTAGTACATTCTACTATACCATATACAAAACTCAAAATGGATTAAAGACTTAAAGGTAAGACAGGAAACCATAAAACTCCTAGAGGAAAACATAGGCAGAACATTCTTTGAAAGAAATTGTAGCAGTACTTTTTTGGATCTGTCTCCTAAAGCAAAGGAAATAATAGCAAAAGTAAACAAATGGGACCTAATTAAACTTGAAAGCTTTGGCCCAGCAAAAACAACCATCGACAAATGAAAAGGCAAACCACTGAATGAGAAAAATGTTTGCAAATGATAAAAGGAGTTAATATCCAACATATCTAAACAGCTCCTATAACTCAATGTAAAAAAAAAAACAATTTAAAAATGGGTTGAAGAATTGAATATACATTTTCCCAAAGAGGAAATGGCCAACAGGCACATGAAAAGATGCTCAACATAATCAGGGAAATGCAAATCAAAACCATGGTAAGGTCTCGCCTCATACCTTCCAGAATGGCTATCATCGAAAAGAAGACAAATAACAAATGTTGGCAAGGGTGTGGATCCCTGCCTTTCTGAAGCTCACCCTAGAGCACAGGGGAGAGAGGTCAGTCAAACACTGCATGTTAAATGTGTAAAGGGTTTGGTGCTGGAAGGAAAGTGCAGGGAGACCCAAGCGCACCCACCAGCCCCTGGCTTGGGCTCGGGGTCCAGGGAGCTTGTGGAAGAAGGGACCCTTGAGGAGTGAGCAGTGGTTACTTGGAGGGAGGAGGCAGCCTTCCCTACAGAGGAGCAGCAGGCACGGAGCCCTGGAAGACGGTCAGGCCCTGCTCCTCACACTGCGAGGCTGCCGGATAAATATGGGAATCCCTGAGGGGGTCAGAGCCACTCTGCTGGGGGAGCAGGGGGAAGATCTGTGGCATCCAGAGCAGAAGAAACAGGCGCAGACGGGTTCTGGGAGAAGAAGACGGGGAGAGTGAGGAGAGCCTGAGCAGGAAGGGGGGGAAAGGGTGTGCCAGGCCACGTGCGAGGCATCCATGGGTCCTGGAGGCTGGAAAGGCTCTGATCTCTGGGGAGCAGAGTGGCTCCTGGGGCAGAGCTGGAAAGGCCAAGAGCAGGCTGGGCTCAGGAGGAAAGAGGCAAAATTTGAAGAGCATAAAGCACGCCTCAAGCTTAGTCATTTCTCTCCTGTTCAGCCCTGAGACTGCTGCATGCTCGTGCTGAGTCGCTTCAGTTGTGTCCGAGCCTCTGCAACCCCAAGGACTGTGGCCTCCCAGGTTCGTTTGTCCATGGGATTCTCCAGGCAAGAATACTGGAGTGGATTGCCATGCCCTCCTCCAGGGAATTTCCCAAACCAGGGATCAAACCCATGTCTCTTATGTCTCTTGCATTGGCATGCAGGTTATTTACTGCTAGCATCACCTGGGAAACCCAGCCCTGAGACTAATCCGACTCAATCTCTCCGCCCTGGAGAGGGGTGGCACCCTCACCTCTGCACGACAGCTCACCCCCTGCCCAGCGAGTTGTGACTTAAGAATCTGGCCTAAGTCACCCAAAGCATCAGGAAGCGCTCGATGCACAGGGAGGGCTGGGCTGGGGGCCCCCTGATGCCGACTCACCCTCCGAGCAGGTTTGGGCAGAGCGGCTGCTCCCTGTTAAGCATGTCTCTTCCAGGTTTCACGCTGTGGTTTGCCCCACAGCATGCATTTCAGACTCTGAGGAGTTGTTGAGTAAACATTAGAATTTCGCAGGTGCATCCTGGAACAGCCTCGATCGCAGGCATTTTGCTCCGACTCACACTTCTACCTGGACTTCCTCCTAAGGCCTCCCTATGGAAACTGACCTCTTCTGGACGACCAGTCACCCGCTCCTAGAGAAACCACTTGACTGGAAGCCTTTGACCTCCCACCTACTGTGCTAGTGGGCCCTCTTTTGCTGTCTGTTCTCTGCATTTGTTTTCTCTTGGAAAAAATACACTTACTAATGTATATTAGTAAGGAAAGTTGTACTAATGCCCCCACCCATCTCTTCCAAATCAAGGCAACTGTTTCAGCTCTGTACATTATTTTTAGTTTTATTCTTTAAAATGTTGATTGATCGATTTAGCTGTCCAGGCCTTAGTTGCGGCACACAGGATCTTCACTCTTCTTTTTGGCATGCAGATTCTTTTAGTTGTGGCATGTTGGATCTAGTTCCCTGGCCAGAGGTTGAACCCTGGCCTGCTGATTTGGGAGGTGGAGTCTTAGCCACTGGACCAGCAGGGAAGTCCTGCATATCGCCCTTTAGGACTCATGAAGAGGCAGTCCTGAAACTCAGCGGCAGAAACTCTCGGAACTTCAGTTTCCACCTGGTGACATGTTTATTCATTCAGTCTCGAACACACCCTCCAAGCGCCACGCCCACAATGTCTGAGCACAGGCGACCAGGCTGAGGAGGGAGGGATGTGAGAGTCTGCGTGGTGGAGGGGGCCCACTGTCCCTGGGAGCATCCCAAGTGCAGCCATGAGGGCCTTTGCCAAGGCCAGTGTGACTTCTCGTCCAGCGAAGAGAGGGGAGGCCAGCAGGTGCCCGTGTCTCTTTACTCCTTGGAAGGCTTGGTCAGTGCCAAGCACTGGGGACAAAAACAGGGGCCCAGCGAGCAGCTCGTAATTCTATGCGTTGGCGTAGGGACCCTGGAGATGTGGGACAGCATAAAATCAGAAAACATAATAAGACTGTAAAACTTTAGCCAAGCAGATTATGAAACTCGGTGCAGAAGAATGGCATGTCCTTTTGAGGAGTAGTAGCAACTTGCTTATTCAGCCCTTGGTTTTGTTATTTAGTTGTTAAGTCATGTCCAACTCTTTGTGACCCCATGGACCAGAACCCACCAGGCCCCTCTGTCCATTGGATTTCCCAGGCAAGAATACTGGAACGGGTTGCCGTTTCCTCCTCCAGGGCATCTTCCCCACCCAGGGATCGAACCCTCATCTCCTGCATTAGCAGGCAGATTCTTTACCCCTGCTAGGGAAGCCCATGACCCTCACCTCTCAATATCTAGTACTTAACACAGTGTCTGCAACATAGGAAGAGTGGTGAGGGCTTGTTGAAGGACAGGGAGGGAGGGTGGGGAAGGGAGGGAAGTGAGAAAGGAGGGCGACGTTACACATGCCGGCGGGCTTCCCTTCAGGCTCCATGGCGCTGTGTCCCACTAGTTTCCTGAGCTTGCCAGGAAGCGTGTCCTTTGGGTAAACTGATTTCTATCACTATAAACAGACCAGTTCTTCCAGCTCTGGGGCTTAAAAAAAAGAAAGAAAGGGCTCTTGGCTGCCCCACTTCTTGGTCCATGACTCAGAAGAGCAGAGCTCTTGCAAGGAAGGGAGGGGAGCTTCACCTGGGTGATCGAGACAGAGGCTCCCGAGAGCTGCACCCAGAGGTCTGCAGGACATAGCTTGGCTGCCCAGAGTGGATAGCACCTCAGCCCCTAGGAGGAGGCTGGCTCTCATCTGACCAGCTCAGCTCTCTGAGGGCAGCAGACCTGACTGTGCAGAGCTACCATTGCACCACAGAAGGTGTTTCAGACCCCATAGCCTCATAGGCTCACCCCCTCCTAGGCAAAAGACTTTCTAGACCTCATCCATTTCCCAAACATCAATCCCCTCACCCCATCACCCCTCCGATCCATCACCTTCTATAAATCCCTTATACATCAGAGGGACCAGGATCCTGGGATTACCAGGTTCTCTGAGGCAAGACGTCACCTCCCCTGCGCCCCTCTCCCCACCTCTGGTTAGTTGATGGGAAGGAGCAACTCGGTGAGAAACCCATTCTCAAGAAGACCTGTGACTACGTCCGCTCAGCACCAGACAAATTACCCAGACCCACAAGGGCTGTGTCCGTACCGTGGGATGCCATGCCATCTGTGCTGGAGAAGGACAGTAGACATCCATGTGCAGACTGAGGAGCATGGCCAGGAAAGCCCATCATTTGGAGATGAAATGGGGAAGCTGCCGGCCAGTACCCTGGACGCAATCTTCTTTTAAGAAAACATCTATTTGTAAATATGTAGATAAATGATTCCCTGGTAGGAGAGAAGCCACACTTTTCACAGTGGATCCCTCTGGGGACAAGAGTGATGGGTAAGGGGGTGGGGAGGCCGAGGGGAGGAGAGAGATGTCAATTTTTCATGAATAGTGGACATGGAACAGGGGGCTTCCCAAGTGGCACAGTGGTAAAGAATCCGCCTGCAATGCAGGAGACCTGGGTTCCATCCCTAGGTCGGGAAGCTCCCCTGGAGAAAGAAAACGGCAGCCCAGTTAAGTATTCTTGCCTGGAGAATTCCATGGACAGGGGAGGCTGGTGGACTACAGTCCATGTGGTCGAAAAGAGTCGGATATGACTGAGCATGCATGCTCGGACAATGAACAGAGAGCTTGTCATTGGAAATCCGATTCAGGAAAGCATCTTGGCTCTAGCCTGCTGACCTGGGGAGGCTCTGCATTCTGCTCCACCAGGAGCTGGTGCCTGCAGCCCAGCCAGCTGGGGGCAGGAGACCGTGAACCTCAGAGCTCCCCACTTTCTCGGAAACGCCATCTTCTTTCTCTCCGCCCTCACATGGTCCTGCCCTCTAGTAGGCAGGCTAGAAGTGTGGCTAGACAGAGACGGCTGTGCCTCTGAGGCCGTGGGTAGGGAGCTGTGGGGTCCCGCTGGTGAACAGCTCTGCTCTCTGCTTGCCTGGGCTGGTGTCGCAGTCCTCTTGCCCTGGGTTTCCTTCCTGCAAAGAGCACCTGATCATTCACACTACCATCCAGGCATCTGGTTGTTCTGAACTGTGGCCTCTGGCTTTCTCTTCTGCAGAGCATCTTCCACAAAAATAGCCACATACAGGCTCCACTGGTGGTCCAGTGGTTAAGATTCCATCTTGCAATTCAAGGGACACTGGTTCGATCCCTGCTCTGAAAAGATCCCACATGCCTTGGAGCAACTAAGCCTGTGTACCAGAGCTACTGAGGCCGTGCTCTAAAACCCTTGAGTCACAACTGCTGAGCCTGCATGCTGCAGCTACTGAAGCCTACGTGCCTAGCATGTTCTGCAACGAGAGAAGGCACCTCAATGAGAAACCCGTGCAATGCAACAAAGGGTACCCCCGCTCACCACAACTAGAGAAAGCCCTCCTGAGGCAAAGAAGACCCACCGCAGTCAAAAAAAAGGAAAAAGAGCCACATAGTGCTTCAGGGTTGCACCCCTAATTTTATCACAGTTATGGCCCTCTCTCTGGTCCCACGCTGAATATACGACAGACACTTTGGAGAACCCTCAGCTTGTTGAGAGTGAATTTGGTATATCTGGGTTAAAAAACTCTCTTCTGTTTACTCACTGAGCAACTTCAGATGAATGACTTGATTTCTGCGTCTTGCTTTGCTGGTCTACAGACGAGCGTACTCCCCTCCCACTGGGGTCTTTGTGAATTCACTGAGATCATGGGTGTCGTGCGCCCTTTGTGGTGCCTGCCACATGGTCAGCTTTGGGACTTGGAAGCTCGTATGAACCAACGCTCACCAAAGTCCCCGGGATTCGTCATAGTCACCTGTGTGCCCTTTCACACACCTTCATTCTTAGCGGAGAAGTTCTCTCCCTTACTGGACCCAGATTCCATTAGAGAACATTCTGGCTGTTACTCACATACCTGCAGCCCCACCTCTGTTCCTGGCGGTCACCTCCTGGGCCTGAGGCTGTTTTTGTCCCTTTCTCTCTCTGCAAGTGGGGGTTTCTGTACTCATCACTTGGGAGACGCCAACTGTGAATTCCTGTAGCTCAGAAGATGACAAAGCTATGGGAGTCCATCCACACCGACCTCTGAGACCTAAACCAAAGGATGATCCGTGGGCGTCACCACTGCCTCACTTTGTCTTCCTAAAAGGGGTCCTCCTGGCCTTGCAATCCCAGGGAAGGAAACAGGTTCAAAAAGAAACTAGAATTTTCAGGAGCAAACAAAATCTCTCAGCCCAGGAGAAACCCATCCTTGATGGATGTGCTTCCTCTGTGGCTCATGCCGTGGTGCCCACCATGCCGTCAGCTGGCGTCTCATCAGGGTGTGAACCAGGGCTGCAGTGGGCAGATCCTCCCTTCCCTCCCCGCACCTCAGTCACCCAGCCAGCCTGCTGTGGACCTTCCACCCTCGGGTGGCCTCCTGGGTCTGTGGGTGAATGAGGCCCACCCAGCTCAGAAGTAGGTACAGAGGCAGCAGCCCCTTCGGGCTTGGTCTGGGGTCAGCCGTGGTCACTGGGGTTCTGAGCAGCTGCCTTCAGCCCAGAAGCTTCCATTTCTCCCCCAAGAAAAGCTCAGGCCTTGGGTCCAGCACCTCCAGCTCAGAGGGTCTGGGTCCTCTCACCCTCGGCACACTTGTACCCAGCTAGTGTCCTGGCCCAGGGAGGTGGTGAGGACAAGCATGACCACCCGCGCCTCTCCTGACCCCTGGGCTCTGCACCCCCACTTTCTCCTCACTCTTTTCCTGCCCCTCCATCTGCAGGAGCCCCTCCCTGCCCCCAGGCCCCTCCTGCAAACCAGTCGAGGCCCAGCTCAGTCCCAATCTCTCTATGCCTCTCCAGAGGCCTATTGTAGCTCACACAGTTGGTGACACAGTGTGGGTGCGCACGGTCCTAGTTGTGCAGGCCACGAGGGGTCCCCTTTGCTCAGCTAATTCCCTGGGCTCACCATTCTACATACGTTCTCTCATTAACTGCCCAACAGAACTGCTATTTAGAAAACAATTTTAAAATTGTGGTAAAAAACACTTCACATGACATTTGCCCGCTTAACCATTTTTCGAGTGTGCAGGCCGGTGGTGCTGAGTCCATCCACACCCTTGTGCAACCAGCAGCCCAGTCCATCCTCACGACGCTTTTCTTCTCGTGAAGCCTCTGTTCCTTAGCCTGCTGAGCGATCACTCCGCACCCCTGGCAGCCACCGTTCGACTGACCCTTTTCATGAATTTGACTTCTCTAAGTGCCTCAAATCACATAAATTATACAGCATTTTGTCTTTCCATGACTGGCTTATTTCACTTAGCATTCTGTCCTTAAGGTTCATCTATGTTGTAGCTTGTGTCAGAATGTCCTTCCTTTTTAAAGGCTGAATGATATTCATTCCACTGTATGCATTAATGTGTAGCACATTTTGTTTATCCATTTATCCTTAAGTGAACACTTGGGTTGCTTCCACCCCAAGCTTCTGTGAAGAATGCTGCTATGAACATGAGTGTACACATATCTCCCCAAGACCCTGCTTTCAATTCTTCTGATGTATACCTAGAAGTGGAATTGCTGGGTCATGTGGTCATTTTCATTCTGTTTGAGGAAACCACTATACTGTTTTTCTTGTAAAATGGTTTGAACCATTTTACTTTCTATATTAGTTTTAATAGTTTTTTGGTGGGATATTTAGGGTTTTCTACATGTAAGATCAGACTGTCTACAAACAGAGACAATTTTACTTCCTCCTTTGCAGTTTGAATGCTTTTTGTTTCTACTTCTTGCCTAATGAACTTGCTAGAACTTCCAGTACTATGTTGAAGAGAAGCAGTGCAAGTGGGCATCTTACCTTGTTCCTGATCTTAGAGGATGCACCTTTAGGGTTTCACATTGGGTGTGATGTTCATCATGGATTTGTCATACGTGCTTTTATCATGTTGAAGTAGTTTCCCTCCATTCCTAAGTTGTCAAGTGTTCTTACCGTGGAGGTTGTTGAATTTTGTCAAATGCTTTTCCTGCATCAGTTGAGATGATCATATGGTTTTCTCCCTCTTTGCTCTGTTGATGTGGCTATCCGCCAGAGTAGCAATCCTGTAACTTCTTGTCTTCAAGACATAACATTCTCAAACTCTTTAAATTTTGCCAAACTAGTAGATCTGAGAAGGTATTTGTAGGTGGGTTTTTTTTTTTTGTATTTTAAAGTATTAGTCCTGGGTCAGTTTTATCCTTTGCTAATGTCTTTCCCCAGACTATGACTTGTCTTTTGACTAACAGAAGTTTGCATTTACCTATTTCTGGCTGTCCTGGGACTTCGCTGCTGCTCGCCGCCTCTCTCTGTTTGCGGCGCGTGGGGGCCCCTCTTCGCCGTGCGGTGCTTGGGCGTCGCATTGCAGTGGCTCCTCTCGTGGCGGAACTCAGACCCTAGGCACATGCGTTTCGGCAGTTGTGGTGCACGGGCTCTAGAGCTCAGGTTCCATAGTTGCTCTGCGGCCTGCGGGCTCTTCCTGGAGGAGGGGTCCAACCTGTGTCTCCTGCGTTGGCAGGCGGAGTCTCATCCACTGCACCATCCAGAAAGCCCAATTGGTTTGTTTTTAATGAAGTAGATAGACTTTCTCAGCCTTCTCCCTTACGGTTCATGTTTTCTGTGTCTCAAGAAATTCATCCCTATCCCAAGATTATGGTTTTTCCCTTTTTTCATTTAGGATTTTAATCCATCTGGAAGTGACATTTATGCATGGTGAAGGTAGAGAGCTGATTTCATCTTTCCATATGATGGGTCATTGTCCCAGCAAGACCCAGTGTATTGTCTGGCCTTTCCCCACTGTTCTTGCACCTGCTTTTAGGTGGCTGACACCTGGACACATGCACAGGTAGTAATGCCCTGGTAGTAATGGTTGCCTCCTGGGAGGTCAGCTGGGTGGTTGAGGGAGAGATGTGAAAAGAAACTTATTTTTCCCCATTCACCCTTTTGAACATTTTGAGTTTCATTTGAACTAATCAATAAAATAAAAAGAATGGTTTGTTTAAACAACTTAAAAAGAAATACTTTTCTAACCATGTGTGTGTTAGTTGCTCAGTTGTGTCCATCTCTCTGAGACCGACTTCTCTGTCCATAGGATTCTCCAGGCAAGAATACTGGAGTGGGTAGCCATTCCCTTCTCCAGGGGATCTTCCTGACCCAGGGATCGAACTCAGGTCACTTTTGTCTCCTGCATTGACAGGTGGGTTCTTTACTAATGGGGAAGCCCTGGAGAAAGGTCACCATATCACACACATCACCCTGAGTTTCTCATGGGTTTCAAGTGCTGCTATACTTGTGTTAATTAATACAGCCTTAGAGTAATTTAGGGCTTCCTGTGGCTCAGACAGTAAAGATTCTGCCTGTAATGCGGGAGACCCAGGTTCAATCCCTGAGTCAGGAAGATCCCCTTGGAGAAGGAAATGGTAACTCATTCCAGTATCGTTGCCTGGAAAATCCCACGGACAAAGGAGCCTGGCAGGCTACAGTTCATGGGGTTGCAAAGAATTGGACATGACTGAGCAACTAACACACACACACTAGAGTAATTTAGGTGGCACTAGTGATAAAGAATCTGCCTGCCAGTTACGGGGACATAAGAGACATGGGTTCCATCCCTGGGTCAGGAAGATCCCCTAGAGGAGGAAATGGCAACCCTCTCTAGTATTCTTGCCTGGAGAATCCCACGGACAGAGGAGCCTGGCGGGCTACGGTCCATGGGGCCTCAGAGTCAGACACTGAGCTTCCTAAGTGAGTGAATGTGGAGTAATCTCCCGCTTTCTCCCATTGACTGCTTTGTTCCTGTGTCGACACATCATTTCCACTGTGTTGTGGTCTCTGTGGCCACCAAGTTCTCCCTGCATTGGAAAGCAGGAGTCAGTCTGGTGACTGGCCACTAAAAACTTCACAACTCTTGGTTCAAAAGCCCACAGGCTGGGGCCAGAAGGGAAGATGTAATCTTCGCTCCTGGTTCTGGATTCTGTCTGCCAGTGCATCCACTAGGGAAAAGTAACAATTTGGGTTTGTTTTTATCCACTGTGGCCTGCTGGAAAGAGTTGATAATGCAGAGAAGAGAGCTTGGCCTTTGAACAAAGTGTAGAACCCTCAGCTTTGGGTGGAGCAGGGAGGCAGGGCAGGACCAGTGCATAAATGGGTGGAGGGCATGTAGAGCCCTAGAAAGCAGAAGTGAGACTGAAGCCAGAAGGCGCTGCTCTCCCGGGTCTGTGGACATCCCTTGGGCAGCTTGAGTTCCAGCTTATCATCCTGACACCACAGCCTATGGAGACTCCAAAAGGTTCCACCCCCGGTCCGTTTTCTCCCTCTCCCCCAGCGCCCTGGTCTAGGCCCGAGGCCTCCATCGCCACTACCACGAGGCAGCCTCCGTGCGGGTCTGCAGGCGGCTTTCTCCAGCCATGCTCAGGGCACATCAAGCCTGCGCCTACAGCCTTCTGGTGGGCTGTCCTCCCCAACGCTGCCCAGCTGCCCTGCCCACCCTCATCTCAGGGTCTCACCACCCTTTCTCTCCACTCCTTGAGCAGAGGAAGTGTGTTCCCACATCTGGGCCTGCGTGCTCCCCCACCTGATCACTTCCTCCTGGGGGTCTCAGGCACCTGATCTCTCAGAGACCTTCCCTGATGAACCCGCCTCCCCACTTCACTTATTTCTTCCCCCCATCATGTCTCATGGCACTTTCTTCAATTGAAAATCAGCCACTTCTTCCCTGGCCATCTAGTTGTTAAGACTTCACCTTCCAATGCAGGGGCTATGGGTTCCACCTCCGGTCAGAGTTAAGATCCCACATGCCAAGGGGCCAAAAAAAAAGCATGAAACAGGAGCAATATTGTAATAAATTCAATGAAGACTTTAAAAAAATGGTACACAAGAAAAAAAAACTTTCAAAAATAAAATTACTGATTTAATGAATACAATTACTATTTACAGGGCTTCCCCAGTGGCTCAGTAGTAAATAATCCACCTGCCAAAGCAGGAACTGCAGGAGACGTGGGCTCGATCCCTGGGTCGGAAATATACCCTGGAGAAGAGAATGGCACCCTGCTTCAGCCTTCTTGCTGGGATAATCTCATGGACAGAGGAGCCTGGTGGGCTATAGTCCATGGGGTCGAAAAGAGTTGGACATGACTGAAGCAACTTAGCACGCATGCATTACTAATTACTTGTTTAATGAACATTTGCCCTCTGGGACGCCTGCCTTGTCCTCCAAGCCTGGAATACCACTGGCACGGAGAGTGTCCTCAATAAAAGCTGCTGAGTGAGCAAAGGAATCTCAATAGGTGACATGTGAGATCCTCTGAGAAGCCAGCCTAATTCACAAAGCATCGCTGGTCATTCATGTTTCTCCACACGAGAACTGGGCTTCCCCAGGGACTCAGACTGCAAAGAATCTGCCTGCAAAGCAGGAAAACTGGGTTCAATCCTTGGGCTGGGAAGATCCCCTGAAGAAGGGAATGGCAACCCACTCCAGTACTCTTGCCTGGAGAATTCCATGGATGGAGGAGCCTGATAGGCTACAGTCCATGGGGTTGCAAAGAGCTGGATATGACTGAGCGATTAACACACACACACACACGCACACGCTCTCGGGCAGATGGAAAGCGGAATTTTTTGTTACTTACCGCTCCAGATGGGAGAAGGCCTCCAGGCAGGGCCAGTCTGGGGGACCCAGTACCTTGGGGTAGAAAAACAGGCAGCTGGAGTTGTGGGGAGCAGCCTGGGTGTGGCAAGTGGGCTGGGGCTAACTAGATTTCACAGGCTCCCCACGGACTGACTAATCTGAATGACTTGGCAGTATAAACCCCAGGGCCTAGGGCCCCCCCTGGTTGTCCTGTAGCTGTGGCACCTGGTCACAGGCCAGAGGCAGGGCAGTCTGCAGTAGAGCCTGACAGGGGAAGTGGCTGAAGTGTGGACCTGATCAACTGCTCAAGAAAGGGAAATGACAAGCCTCTAACCACGGCCTCAAAAGTGGGTCAAGAGAGTGTTCAAAGCGAAGCTCTATTGCAACTGAGCCCTTTAATGGGAGCTGCACAGTGAGTTATGCAGCCGCAAGGTCCCTGAGCTACATGGGTCGTTCTCTACTTCGGTGGCGGCGGGGTGGGGTGGGGGTCCAACCAACATCTCCTTCCTCGGGAATTGCCCAAAACACACAGAGAAGTCAGGGTCCTGCCCCAAAGGATGATTTAAAACAAGTGACTCTGGAGATAGGACGAGGTTCTGGATAAATGCAGGTTCTTCTGAAGACACAGAGGAACAACCAACCCAGAGAGGGCTGCTCGGGCAGCCGCATCTCCCCGTGGCTCTAAAGAGGCCGCGCAGACGCACGTGCGGTCCTGGTGCTCGGCCAGTGGGCACCCTTCACGTGGATGGTCTCGCGCTAGGGTGTCCGGGCGAGGAGAGAGCGGCAGTCACAGAGCAGCAGCAGGCCCGACCCCGGAGCCCCAGCTCTGCCTCAAGCCCTCTCCTCTCACCGTGGTCTAGAACCAACAAAAAACTGAGAGCGGTCTCCCGACAGAGCTGTCCAAGGGCCAGCGGTCACGGCCACGCCATCCTGCTCACAGCGCCGATTGTTCTCTGAGACTTAAAGGTCCCTTTGATGGTGCCCAGCACAAAGGTCCTCAGATAGATGAAAGGCAGACTCTTTGTTACTAACAGCTCCAAACCAGAGCAGGCTGCCAGAAGGGCCACGCAGGCGCTCATACCCGGGGACTAGGGACCAGGCAACCACTGCAGCACAGGCCACTTGTGTGTGGCAAGTGGGCTAGGGTCAACTAGGTTTCTCAGGCTCCCTGTGGATGGGCTATTGAGTCATTTCTCATTTCTTCTGGAGTCAAATCCTAGGCTTCCCATCACAGTCATAGGGACCCCACCATCCTGTCTTCCACTACAGAGCACCCCCCACTACCACCACCATGGCCTCTGATGTGCGGGAACTGGGGATGTACCAGCTGTGTACACACAAGGGTGTACACACACCTCCTGCTGACCGGCTCCAGGGTACACAGCTGGATGAGAGACGCTGGAACGTGATTTGGGTTTCCATCACTCCATAGCTGGCACAGGACTGGCCATTGTCAGCGTGTGCTGGGCTGTGCCACTAGTCACTGGGTGCCCTTATTCCTCCATCTGGGGTAGAGGACTGGAGCCACGAGCCCACAGCGGGACTGACTCAGGGCGGGCTGGGCCCTCAGCCCTGCGGCTCCGCTATTTCTAGTGGCGTTGCACAAAGTGGTTATGGGGAGGTTTGTCCCGGCTCCTGGTCCCTGGAGTGGATGTGGTCATAGCGGTGGGGATCTCAGGAAGGGGCCCTCAGCATGTGCTGCAAGGGCTGCTGGGTGTGGGTCACGTGAGTCCAGGTCCACTTCTGGCACCTGGAGGCTGTGTCAAGTCA